AAAATAAAGTATTTCAACAAGTTTTGAACAAAAAACAGTAAAGAAAAACAAGATCGATAACTGAATACCTGTGAACGTAATTATCAGTATACGGTTATGGAGATTGTTGAATTTTAACTGAGATCATGAACCGATCAATATTAAACCACCATTGACAACCTGGAAGTACTGATCGGCCGTTTCGTCTTGGTATGAGACTACTCCGCGTTCTCACATGAGACTGAAGGTCCTCGGTTCGAATCTTGCGTGGGAGATCGTGGATACGTACCGCTGACGCGTCTCATACCAGAATGAAACGGTCGTCCAGTGCTTCCAGATTTCTAGCGGTGGTCTAAAATTGATCGGTTCATGGGCTCAACTAAAATGTACACATAGACTTAGCAAATGAACTACTCGGATTTAAATGGAATGTTTTATAATAAGATTAGAATCTGTACAACTTTTAATTAGCAGCATGTTTAAGAATACAGGTTATTGACTAGGCAACTCCTACAACCTGTTCGTCACACAGTATATTTTCTAGATAAGGTATTACAGAGCTCTCGTATTTTTGATTGAGTGTATGGATTCTAATGTATTGGAGTCTCGTTTCACTGGAAGATATATAAGAAGAAAGATGTGAATGAAGTAAATGATAAGACAGCACTTGTCAGGCGTTCGCAAGGTGTGTTTTCAAAGTTTAAGGAGAGAAGGTTGGAAAAAATTTGTTATTATTGTCCTAAGGATTACGATAAGTTATAGTGTTCAATAATAAAAAATGTGATAGTCTGTGTCTTTGCACCACAGATCTACCAGAACTACGTGATACGGCCTTCCAAAGCAATTTATAACATTTGGATTGGAAATGGAAAAGATACATTCGATAGAAAAGGACTCATTTGATTGGAATCATGAATTGATCAACGTTAGACCCCCATTGAAAAACCGGAAGCACTAGATGGCCGTTTTATCCCAGTATGAGACGTTTTATCAATGGACACCCACGATTCTCCATGAAGGACTCGAACCCAGAACTTTTGGCCCCGCTTGCGAACGCCTAACCTCCAGACCACCGATCCGGCATTTAACGGTGTTAATGTCTAACCATAATCAATCTATGGCATTTGATCTACGTTTCGTAGCTTTTGTACTGCTTTGTGAAAGCTCATGGTTTCATCACTATTTTGGCCCAGCCACAAGTTCTCATAGAATGTGGCTTAAGACTAAGCAAGTTTAACGAGCAATTTAAACAGAAAGTGTGAGGATCGTGGATGCGCACTGCTGAGGAGTCCCATACTAGGACAAAACGGCCGCCCAGTGCTTCCAGGTTTTCCATGGTGGTCTAGCTTCAATGGATTCATGATTTCAACCGGAGAATGTGTGATCACTGAAATTTTCGTGAATGTATTTATGCAAAACAAACACACAATATCACGACTGATATAGAGGTTAGAAATCATTAACTGAATTCTATATATTAGAATATCCAATTTTAATTGCAGGATATTATTTTACCGAGATTTTCATTTAGCGGTTGAAGTTAAATAAATAATAAATATATTAATAAGAAAAGGTACATTGACCAATGTTTGTTACATAATCTCTATTATGACGCATCATTTAGTCTGTGCATGTGTATTTATACATATGTGTCTGTATATGTAAACATCGAATTTTCATCCAATTAGGATTTGGATAACACCAATTTAAACTATCAAGTATAAATCACGTAAACATGATAAAGAAGTAGGGATGACAGTGCGTATTACTTATTACAGCGTAAAAATTGCTATGAAGATGTACAAATTTAAAAATGATGGATTTCTAAAAAAATAGCTATTTTTATTCTAAGAAGTAAATTGGAAAACTATAACAATTTATTAGAAACTAATGTTTTCAAACCTAATTTAAAAGTTTTCATGCTGAAATGTCGACCATAAAGTTGAACAAACAATCATAAACGTGAAGTGTTACAAAATCAGTAACAGATAACCTATACATATTTGTTATTTTGAGTCACATCTTAGGTATGAAACCTAATAATAATACTCGGTTGCCTAAACTGATTTAAATGGAATGGATAGAAATCTACAGTTTCATCGAGGAAAATAGGTTACTTCAACCGATAAATCCACTGCTAGATATAAGGCGAAAAACGTTATTCTCAAAGACGCAACAGGTTATTGTTTTCTACAACTGTCTAAAGTCTACAATTAAGTATTCAATGTTGCAAGAATAGATCAATAATTCTGACATTAAGAATTATCAATCACCAAGCAAAATATAATCCAGTTTTATGTCTATTTTTCAGGAGTTTATTAGCATTTGTTTGCTGAAACCTGTCCTCTAGTCAATCCACACTCTAAAATTGTTATTCAATACATAATTCACACCAAATATTGGTCTGTAAGTTGTGTTACACAACAATTAGTTAAGTGACTTCTCCTAAAATAATATTGATTAAACAAGCTGATAGTTTATTTCAAGATGTATTATTTTTGACCAAGTAGATAGAATTAATTGGGAGATGACAAGTAATGTTAGAAAGTGACTGAAAGAAAAAGCTTGAAATTTCTGACGAAAATCTAAATAATTGATTTTTCACAGTAGCTTCTTTACTCAAATAATATCGATAGTTTTTCAATGAAATTTAAAAAAAATCTGCCATTAAAACTTCATTTTGTTGACTTAGCATCAGTTACTTAAAGCATTACTTTTAAATTTCTAATCATTTGATTGTTGTGCAAGTTTGTTTTTTGTTCGGTTGTGTAAGAGAGATGGAGACAAATTTGATAAAAAGAGGTATTCGCATAAATTATTACTAAACATTATATTAAAACAGATACTTAGTCAGTTATTAAATGATCAAGTTCATCATAAAATGATAATTCAAAAAGGAAGTCATTTGAAAAGTCAAACAAAAATTACACAGTTGAGTTATCTGAGTTTGTGAACTATCAATAAATGGAAATCATAAGACGGGAGAGATGATAAACCTAATTTTTACAGATCTCTAAGTAAACTTAACACTGTTTAGCCAGTCTTGATCACCATAGGATTATTCATTTACAAGTATGATCCTATGTAAAGTAGTTAGTATAAACTCTAAGAGTAAGTTGAACTATGGATAAAATATACATATTAGCTCTTCTTACATTTTGGTGATTTATAAGCTTGGGTAATTGTTCTATGATCAAAATTATCTCTAAATATTCTTAAACACATACATATTAATCGTCAAAATAGAATTTAAAACTATTCTGTTGATCAAATAATAGCATTTTTAATGGTCTATTATACTTTAAATCTCAGAAGATAAATGAATATGGGTCATAGTTACCACGGGTTAGTTATGCTGTCAATTTGTAAGCATTCATACGCACATTCGAACACACACGCACAAGCACATCTTAGTGTTGAAGTATCACAAAAATCAGTAATACAATCAAAAAACAGTGATTTATGTTGAAATATTCATTTGATATTCAATACGAATATAAAAATATTTGGCTACCGTTAATAGTACCAGTTAGTTATCATGATTCTTTTGATTTTCATTTAGTTTCAACTATCTTTAGTCAATACGGGTTTTTATTGTTCAACAAATCTCTGTTCTTCTTTCATTATTTGTGTTTATTTTACTAAAATATGTAGTTTAAAATCAATATTAAAATATTTTATCTAATTTAACCGTCAAGTTATGGTTTTTAAATCAGCTCAAACTTCAAGATAGTTCTGTGTTTCAGTGTAGAGTTGAGATCAACAAAGCATTAGTTAATGAATGGTTGTAGACAATTAATGATAGATTGAACCTCCAGAATTAATGTGATGCATTTAACATTTCAATTACAACTGATCGGTATAAACGATTTTCACTTATAAATGTGTCTTCGAATGGTAAGCTGTGTCTTGATCAATAAAGGTAAACAGATTTTGTGGATTAGAGAAAGAGTTTTTAATGTTATGGATAGGTTAATACAAATAAATTCATTTTAAGCACTTAGTTAGTATAAAGATTGACTGTTTTAAAGATATCCATAAAACTATTCTACAGCTCAGAACTCCGTTCACTTATCACGAATATTAAATAAAAGTTTCTATTAGCAAAAAAGCTTAATGCTCGGATTTGTTTTAGGACTCAACAGAGATGCGCTATCTGGTCTTTGACGTTATATAAACTGATATTTGTACAGGACGATGATGATTTCTTAACAGAGGAAATTAAAAATAAGCAACATATATAAGTACTTGGTACTTAGACCACTGGGTCGTCATCTAATGTTTCGCATTTTCAGCTTTAATATGGTGTGACAACTTACGCTTAGTGTAAGCTAGTAAATACCTCACACCCAATATACACTAAACCTTGTCAGTTATGACTTCGTAAAACACATCAGGTCTGAACACGATTGAACACTATCAGGTAATCTCATATCTAAATGAACTAGGTAAGTTTATTTGGCTTTCCAATTGGTGCCAGTTCATACTAAAAACAATTTTCAAATTATCATTTCCTTTGTTAAAATTGAATTTCGTATTTCTAGAAACCAAGGTAATGAGTGTTTTATAGTAATACATGAAGTGTTTTCTATATCAAGTAAAAGTGTGGCACTGACGGAAAAATCATAAAATATTACCCTAATTTCTTTTATAAACACAATTCTTTTCCAAGCTGATTACTGATTCGTCTGTACAACAAAGACAATGAGTTTAATTTGAACAGTTAGAGTTATCTCGTTGCTGATATTCCTGACTGAATTTTAACCAATTTTAGTTGATATATGTGGATCGTCTGAGGATTGTTTTGACAGAACCACTTCACTATGATGCAGGTATATACAACTTATGAGTCTGAAATTGGAAGAAGCATACATCCTGGATTCTACGGCTAATCACAATCTCTTTCTTAATGAATACATTAAGATAGTCAGTATATAATACACATAGGCTAAATAAATCATTGAAATTCAAACAAGAATATTAAAAACAATGGATATTTAAAATAAATAAACACAGCATACTTGTGTTGGTTTTTGAAGTTTTCCAGATTTACTTCCATGGTATATATAGACTGCACCGCCGTTGTCTTCATAAGGAGCACCGATAGCAAAGTCTAGTTTCATTATGATTAAGTGTAAAAAAAGGCAATAAATATTGTCTACATGATACGAAGAGTAAAAAGTTATTCTTTTTCTTCAAGATTGATGGAATAATAAATAAACATTTTTTAAAAAAGGTTATAAACCATTTTTTTTATTGTTTAAGCACAATATGGAGAAATGGATGAACAGGGTTTTATTATATAAACACATACACACATAGATACACACATATATGCAAAATATGTTCATAGATAAGAAAAAGAAATTGAAGAATTTAACATACTGTGAAGGACAATACTTCAAAGAAAGGAATAATTAATATAAGTGAACTCATGGTAAAAAGTGATAGATTAGTTTACTGGTGGTCTAAAGTAATATGCACTTAAAAATAAATATGTGGTATTCAGAGTTACCTTTAAGTGTATTCAGTAAGTTTTATGAAAAATCTTTAAGTTATGTAATACTTTGTTTCAACTGTTTTTTTTTTCTTCAATCTTGGTTACGTCGTTGTAATCTAACTGTTATTAATTAAACAAATGTTTTAAGTAAACAATGTAGGAGCAATTTCTGGTTCAATATTTATAACATGCACTGAAAGAATGGATGGTGTATATATGTGAACTGTAAACTGCCAATGCATGCCAACTTAGTAGTAAAAATAGAATCATTCAGGAAATAAACCTGAGACATGTAAAACATAAAACTTATACACATAAAAATAGCTTTAGTAATCTTTTAAATCACTGAAGATAAAGTAATCATATGGATTGGAGAGAAAAGATTGTTTGTAAAAATGATGATACACTCTTATTTGTATCTGTAGATGTAGAATCATTTTTGTGATTGTTGTAAACAAGTGTTCGTTTTTTTTTTATTAATTAATAAGGGGAGATATGATTTATATTGAATGATCATTGAGAAGTGAACAATAATTCAAGGGCCAAGTACAGTCCTTAAATCTGATTGAGTTTTACTAATCAAGTTCTAATGTCACCAGTTTGAGTGACTACATATCATTTGCACTATGTTTTAATGTTAGGCGGTCGAAGGTGATTGACACAAAACTCTAGAGGTAGGTTTTATCCTTGTTTGGGTTTGTTGGCAAGGTGTAGGTATCTCGATCCTACATTATATCACTCGCTACCCGAATAATTCAACTGATAACTTCACAGACTATCAAACTGAGTAACGTAGGTCTAAATCGGATATATATCATCAGTTTCCTCGAGAATGCAGGTATTTCTGATGGTCGAATGGGAACTGGTAAGAAATCCCAGTCCGGAATTGCCGGGTGACTATTTCTAATTATCTAGGACTCAATTTTCGACTATTGAGTCAAATGTTCAAATATTGGCTCATCACATTCAGTTCGGGCAGTCAAGTGGTAAAACTAGCCTTTATACAATGTGGGTCAAAGTATAATACATAAAACTATGGTTTGTAAATGACTTAAATAATAGATGAACTACTGAAGTTCACTTATGATGAAAGTCTCTTATATGTATATGAAGGGATAACAGAGTAGGATTCTTACTAATTTCCCAACAATCTACATTACTTGTCTAAATTACCTCTGTTGACAGTTATATACTGTTATTTTTTGTATTCTCTTTTCGTTAATTATTTAGCTGAAGTGAAGAAGATTCTGACATTAAATCACTATAATTTAAGGTCGAAGAAAGTTATGTGGTATCCTATTTTCGTTTACAATCACTGATGAAAAGTGAGGTTATTTAATTAAGTAGTAATTCAAAATAATGTAATAAAATGACAGGGAAAAAATGATTGTAGGGATTTATTTAATTTCCAAACGCTAATTAGAAACTAACTAATAATTGGTGTTATGTCATTTGACCTCAAGTGTAGCTAAACACTTACAACTAGATTAATTATATAACCATCCAGCTATTCACTGCAAGACGTATGAAGTCAGTTAATAAGAATCTCTGATCCTGAATTTCACCGAAATTGAGTTACTCGACTGGGGCACTATAATGGCACCGGTTTAGATTTTTGGACGGAAGTTAGTTAAGTTAAAATTATACGTTAAATACTAACAGGCTTGATATCCAGAGCTGCTTACCAGCTGTCTTAAGCATATGAGATTTAAAGGCGCGGATAAACCACTAACTTAAATATAATAATGAACTTAATTGCTTAAAATTTTCTCGAAGACTCAAACTGCTCAACTTTTGGCCTCGGTATTTCAATACTGAACAATACTTATTGAATCTATCGCTTAAAGGGCGGATTCATCCTTTGATAATAACGTCTTCTAAATCTAGTTGTGTGGTGGATAGTAATATTCACCGACTGTTCAAGCTGAAGTAGGTGTTATGGAATATAAACATGAGATTGAATAGATTGAGAACTGAGTTTTTTAACTAATATGCTATCATTTACTCAATCCTTATTACTGACCATGTAACAGAGAAGAAGATACACCAGACCTTATTATGAGTAAATTCAGTAAACGATATTGGTCTCCTTTTGTGATTTCTGTTTAAATTCAGGACCACGTTAGTCTTGAAGAATTAATATACAGAACATAATCACTAAACAAATAAGTTGATCTGAAGCTCCTAATACATTAAATGACAACAGTCTGTAAAGATCGTAAATACATAATAGATTCTACTCCTAATCACTATGAAGCATTCTTTGATCGTTGAATTAAAACTAGAATTTTGCATGACACTGATACATTTTTTGATCGTTAACATTACCTTGAAAACCATCGTGATTAATATCACCAAGTTTTGTTATTGTCGCTCCAAATCCAGGAATATGTGAATTACCACAATTATGAGATGGAGATGTGATTATTTGAAAAGTTTCAGGATAATTATAACTAAACAACTCCACGCCACTGACTTCATCCACTGGTGTATAGAAATATGACTGTCTATTTAAAAATATAAACACTGCTCCGTGTCTTCTATGTCCACCGACAGTCGTATTGGAATATTGATAAGGTGCACCGACAATTAGATCATCCCAACTAATAAAAACGTAAGACAAAGCAAGTCAGTGAACTATCCAACAAATAACAACTTACAACTTCTTTATTATTTAGAGACAAAATTATTGGATTGCTAATGATTTATTTAGTACAGGAAACATAGTCGTACTGTTTGCTAGACTAAATTTTGTAGAATGTATATATAATCTGCACAATCAGTACGTGAACTGAGTTACTTCAAATGTTTGATGAAACTTGTACTTCGGGTCCCCTATCTACTGTCCGAATAGATTCTAGAAATCCTCTGTATATGCGATTCCAAAACAAAACATTTAAGGGTTAATAAATAGTGATGTAGCCACAGTGGTAAATTTCGAAGGACTGCCAGAGATGCTTCGAATAATAAAAACGTAAACAAGGCAAGTGGGCGGTTGCAAATGAAGATAACATTGATATACTGCAAGGTCTATAAAATGAAACATTTATGAATTTCATACGCGTATTAATTGGAAAGAATAGTAATCTGATGTAATGGTTGAGCATAATTCGGAGATAGAATTTTTCAATTGTGAAGTGATATAATAGACAGTAATTTGCATCACTTTACAGCATAATATTGCTGTTACTACCAGAAGATCACAAGTAGGAATAGATCTAATTGTAATTTTATTTTCAATAACCTAAATATGCCATATAATGATTGATGCCTGTTAAAGAACATTGATCTATATTTCATTTGATATGTATATGTTATATGATATGTGCTACTTATGTCGACATAAGTAGTATATGCCGCTAGTCAGGAATAGAATGTCTGGTAGCAGAAGATCGAATTGGTCGAGGAAGAATGAACATTTTGCAAATGAAGTATTTACTGTTTGGTTCTCAGATTTTACTAAGACATTTGTCCTCATTTATTTTCTCATTCATAACAATTATAATCACTCATAGAAAGCTTTCAAGAAAATAGGTTGAAGCTTTACTGAAGTTAATTTTCCCAATATTATCAATTTCGTCCTTGTTTATACTCAATAAATTGTAAACTTAACAAAATCCACTGAATAAATTCAATAAATAACATATATATAAAACAAAAAAAATTCAAATCCAAATGTTTTCATCAATGTTATGATTTAAAATTAAACAAATTATTTGTAAAATAACATCAAATTTTTCTAAAAAAGAAATAGTTTTGTTGTCATTTAATTTAAACAAAAATTACTAAATCATTTAATGTATTTAAAGTGTATTTAGAGATTTAAATTATATCATGTATTATTACTTAAATACAAATGAATGAAAACTAAATCATTTGATGTAGTAAGTACTCAGTCAATAAATGTATCATTTAGTTGATTCATGGTAATTCATTTAGTCTGAAGTGTTGTTTTTTGATAATCTGACAACAACAACAAAAATTAGAGTAATACTGAATGTCACACTATCCTATAAATCTTTATTGTTATAGTTTAGGGGTTTCATAAAAGTTCACATTGATCGAATCAGATTGAGCTTAGGATTTTAGAGGCCTATAGGATGTATTATAAACTTAAATTATTGTATAGGAATATAATTTAACATTTCACTATGAACGTACTAAAAATAGTACAGTAATACTCGTGTTAAGAGTATACCTAAATACACCTGTCTACTGCAATACATTGCATGGATCATGAACTTACTATACTTCAGTGACTACTGTAAATATCTTTCTCGTTACTGTTTATAGACACATTTATTTTACATAATAGTGAGTGAATCTGATAAATCTTGTATAAATATTACATATCCAGAAGTATATGTAATATATCTTTAAATTAAATTGATCTCATTTTGTACATTTCATAAAGTTCCGCTACACTTTCAGGAAAGTAAGAGAAATAGAATGAAGGAAAAATGTTTGGTCGTTTAATAACTTCAGGTACATATATCTAAAGTTGAAATCAGTAAATCTTTTTAGTAGAGGTAAGTTATTCAATGCTCTGATGTTTAATGATAAGTGATCGTTTGATAAAAATTCATACTTTTACATTCCTTATATTTAGAAAGATTCAACTGACCTGATAAAAACTTATGAATGAATGCCTCCAGTAAATATACTGTATATATATAGTACTGCAGTTCTTATTTATAGTTCAATGAGCTTTATTGTATTTTAAACTTAAGATATACATGGATGCGTCTACTGCTAGTCGACTCAAAGACAGGATCTAATTTTATGCTTCCATTAAACGGATTATATATATAATATTTGAATAAGAAAACTAGTAACTTGGAAATTTTGAGTCGATTATTATTTCTGCATTAATGTTAATTGGACATATTTATAATTATTTCCATTTAAGTTTATCAATTAAAGTACAAATAGGAATGTGAATAATAATTCCTGATTTGTAACACAAATTATTGATTCATTTGTTAGTATCGATATGTTTCACATGGAAATATGATTATATCAACCATTTTAATATTCACAGTCGATACCAGACAACGATCAACTTATTTATACAAATATGATATTATAAATGAACCACTTGTAAATTAATCAACGTTGACTTTTTTATAGGAAAAATAAATTTGTTGATAGGATTACTGAATGATAATCTATTTAGTAATATATATATATATATATATATATATATATATATATATATATATATCTTCTGCTTCACATAGAATGGTATTCCAATTATTACATGAATCCAGAGTATATTAAAACAAAATTCCAAAAAACAGTATGATAAACTATCATTTTGTAAATGATAAATATAATTTTTATAGGATTATATTTTATTTATGACTATTTAGGGTATTATTTGAAAATTCCATTGTAAGCATTAGTTTTTAGTATCTCAAATAATCTACGGTTCGTAGACTTAGATTATGATAGAGGATTATAAACTCGGGACTGTAGGATTTATATTCTGTCGCAATACAATTTGTAAAAGTAGTTTTTTTATAATGATTAATTGCCTTTGATCAGTATAGGGTTGTGGAGATTGTTGGGTTTCAATTGATATCATGAATTAATGAATGTTAGACCACCATAACCCTATAGTGATAATTATCATGTGCTCACCAGTGACTCGCTTCAAGATGAGTTTCCTGGAGTTCTAGTAAGAAGCCGTCACCGGTCCAGTTCAACTGTGTCTGTTTTAGAAGCATTTGCTCACTGAAGACAATGGTGGACGGTCGCACAATACGATGGATCGGTTGAAGTTAGACATTAGCACCGTTGGATTCTCGTTCAGTGGTCTAAAGGTTCATTTTCTTTTATTTATTTATTTATTTATTTACATTAAATTGAAATCATTCTAATTCGTGTATACTTTGAAATTTATATAAGTGGCTAAAATATAGACAAAAGTGTAACGACGTAGAAAAGAACGAGAACTTAGTTGGATTATCATTAAGGAGAAAAGTTGTAAGATGAAATATTCGGTCGAGTCATTATTATTTATATTAGTTATGTTAAAGACAACTTAATTATCCCAAAATTAATGTAATAAGTTTATCTTTGTAACCAATGTTTTCAACTAAATTTTTAAAGATTGAAAACAAGTAATCTGACAGACTGAACTGCCTAGTAAATGTACAATTTAGTCGTTTTAAGTTTATAGTTTGTGATACAGTAACTTTATGCTTTGTTATTTCATTAGATCTTATTCTGATTATTGATTTACATATTATGAGATTTTACCGACACTTTTCATACTTGGGTATAGCCATACCTTGATCGTTAGGTGGTTGAATGTAGTTGGCAGGAGATTTTGATCTTGTTTCGTGCTAGTTGGCATTTGTCAAGAGCGTGCACTTGGGATCTTGATGTAACTGACACTTTGTGGGATTCATGTCAGCAAGTCTCATAGTCTTAGAAGTTATCAAAGGGCTAGTAGGGCAGTGGCTGACCATCTATAGGACAGAGATATTTAAAAATGATTGATCACAGAGTAGAAAGTAATGTCATATTTGTCTAGTCCTTTAATCTTGTTTGAATTCTATTGATCAAGGTGTGGTGTAACCAAAAGTCTAGGTGATTTGAATTCGGGTGCATTATATTTATATTTCAGATGGTTACAAGTAGTTACGGCAGTAGGTTCTGTACTAGCCGTGCCTTTAATCTCAAGTGAATTGATGCTTCTTGTGAAATTCAAACCTATTCATTTTAAAATGTGATTTAAGAACTCATCTATTTTCTGTTGTAAATAAATTTCATTTAAGGAGACAATACCTTTTCTTCCTAAATCTTTTCCCCCTTTCCTGTAGTATTCAAAATTGAGTCAGATTCACACTGAGTTATACACATTGTTAAGTGGTCATTTATAACTTTATGTAGTTGATGATCATAGTACATAAACCTAATTTTATAGGTCACAGCAAATCTAGTATTAAAAAAAATCTTATTTAAATAAGATGTCATTTACATAAGTGATATTATTTTAAGTAATATAAATAACAAAAGTACTATTAAGTTTATATATTCAGATTCAGTATGTTAGATCCACATACATTATTAATATGTGCATTTTTCAAATACCATATTTTGAAAACTCTTACGTACTTTGTTTTAAACATACACTGAATTCTACATTGTTTTATTTGATTACATTGATTGACCTCAAGTAAACCTTAAACTTGTTATTTTATATATCGCAATACGAAAAAAAAGAACAAGGTATCATCATAATAGCTAGTAATTGGTAGCTAATAGATTGCCAAATTCAAACACAAAAGCACTGATATATCAATGTAATTGTGTTTTTAGAATATAATGCTGACAGTGTTTCAAGTTTCCAGCATATTCCAAACACGATTTTATTTGAAGATTACAGATTATTTTTTAAGTGATACTGATTCAGCACAAAAACTAGGATTAAGTTAATTAAATCTTCACAAATGATTTTTTGTTAAGTATAACTAAATATCTATATATAAAAAGCTTGTAGATCGATTTATTAGTGACTTATAGAGAAAGCGATTCCAGGAGTGTGATACTTAACCACACCTATATAGAGAACTAACTAAAGCTGAAAGTGTTTCTAGATTTCCAGCTATGTTAGGTTGTCGTTTTAGAATTACGTGTAATCTTGAACAATGATAAAACAACTTCAATTCATGATGTTTTTCCCATTAACTCCTGTTCGTAATGAAAATTGTACTGCATAAATAATTAGTTTATTGACAAATAATAGTATTTATATAATTCTTATGAAATCTACTCACCCATCTCCATTAATATCGAGAAATATAAGTGAATGACCGAATCGACTGCCAAAACTTTGTCCTTCTATTCTCATTAATGGTTTGATATTGTTTCTACCATTTTGTTTATTACTTTGAAATATTAATACGATTCCAGTGCCAAATTTTGTTTTATCAGTGAAGCCATTTACAGCACTACTTGGTACACCTGGACCACCATAAGCCACATACAATTCATGTGATTTCAATCCCGGTAATGGTGCATACAATCGATCGGTAGTGTCAAGAGATGAACCTTTAGATAGAAGGTGAAGTAAAGTGTTGTTATTATTACACTGTATTAAAATTTATGCCAATATTTATTTAAGATAAAAACAGCAGTTACATTATACTCACTGAGAATGTAGAAATGTATCCGTAAACAAAAGTATCTCTCAAAGAATAAGTTTCTAGAAGCTAGACATATTTAAACATTATGTATACTTTGTAGACACACTTCTAGTATACAGAAATGAGAACTTGAAACTAATAAATTCATTAAAATAGAAGAAACTACTTAACCTAGTTAAATCAGTGACAAATGAAAATAAATGTCATTTTATTAAAATTCCTTATTCTTGGTTTTTCATTTAGTTGAAAAATGGTAAGTCGGAAATCGGATTAGTATTTATAGTTATTAAAAAGGAATAAATGCAAACAAAAAATATCAGAAAAGGGTTTTGTGAATATCATAGTAATTTAATAGTTGAGATCAAAAGTCAATTGAAGCTAGGTCAAACGTTCGAGAGCGAGACCAATAGATCCTGGGTTCGAATCCCACGGGGCGGGATGGTGGATGCGAACTGCTGAGCAGTCTCAAAATAAGATGAAGCGGCCGTTCAGTGCTTCCAGGTTTTCCGTGGTGGTCTAGCCTCAATTGACTCATGATCTGAACTATTAAAAAAGAAAAAAAAATGAACTGAGTAAATTTAGAATACAAGTCGAATATATTGCCATTTATGAAGTTTTTTTTAAGAAAATTTATTATTAAGTACTAGTTAAACTCTATAATTGATTATCTGTCATCTTCTTAGATTAGAAAGATGGAAAGGTTAGTGAACCAAATAATTTCAAGTGCTTCACTTCAAATTCATTTTTCAATTATTTTTACAAATATGATATTTGTTTAATTTATGTAGTTAACATGTTTCGAAGAAATGGAAGTAATCACATTATGATCATTATTTAGTTCATGTCAGAATGAGTTCCGAAAGAAAACTTACAATCATTTGCTGGTGATTGATTTGAAAATTCTTTTGTTTAATAATTAGTAATTCACACTCTTAATCCTTAAAAAAACGTATATATATTTAAGATCTTTGTTCTATAATACAAACTGAATATTAATTTTAAACTATTCAATTAATTTTCAGAAGGGGTTTTGTGGAGATTTTAGGAATTTCACTAGTTGAAATCATAAGTTAATTGAAGCTAAGACACCATGGAAAATCTGGAAGCAGTGGACGGCAATTTCGTATCCCTTCTGATAATAATCATCTACTCACTAGTGACTGACTTCAAGAGGCATTTCGTGGAGTTCTAGTGAGAAGCCGTTACCAGTGGAGTTTAACCTGGTCTCTTGTGAGACATCAGCTCACTGAACACAGTGGTGTACGGTGGGGCAATTTCGTGGATTGGATGAAGCTAGACATTAACACTGTTGGATTCCTGTTCAGTGGTTAAGCGCTCGCGCGCGAGACCGATAGGCCCTTGGTTCGAATCTCGCGAGGGGCGGGGTTATAGACACGCACTGTTGAGGAGTCCCATACTAGAACGAAACGGCCGTCTAGTGCTTCAAGGTTTTTCGTGGTGGTCTAGCTTCAATTGACTAATGATTTCAACTAGGGATAATCAATTAATCGTTTATAGGAAAGGAGACAGTCAGATACAATTGACATTCATTTATGTAAATATTTACGTTATCTGGGAATGGTTAGTGAGGCAGGGAGAAAGTAGTCTCAGTTAAATAGCCTAAAAGTTTGAAACTTATTTAAAGCCTAAATTTTACCGAAACAACTGTCACCAATGGAACCGGATGTTCGTCGAGCTATTACGGAAATTATTCAAGTTGAAATTATATCACTGAATATCAACCAAAAGGTTCTGATAATTCAGCATTCGTTGTAAAACCTGAAAATTCTAAGTTCAAAACCTGATAGTCATGGATGTGTACTGATGGTGAGTCCCACATTAAATAGAAACAGCTGGTTAATGCTCCTTGATTCTCAATGGTAGCCGAAAGCAAATCATTCTGTGATGTATACAACCTAAAATTAAGCTAACCTCCTCCAAACTTCATAAACGAAAGTAGGACAGTTTACTGATAGTTTATTTCTAAATGTATTAAATTCCATTTTTAGTTCAAGAATAATAACCAGTGATAGAAGACACAAAGAAATATTAAGATGATTAGAAACGATCGAGAAGAAGCACTGGGTTGATATTTCATGATAGCTGATACTCGTCAGTGAAGCGCAAGTTTAATCTTCTGGAATCTAGTGCTCATTCGTGTGACAGCAGACTGCTCATCACAAATAGAACAGTACAAATTTTAAGCTATCTAATAATAATAATAGTATTTTGTCTATTGACAATATATTTATGAATAACCAATGGGTAATAAGCATTGGTTTTCAGAATAGTTCCTACTGATAAAAAAAATACAAAATCTTTGTTAATAACTTGTGCAGGATTATTAGCATACAAACATTAACAATCATAGAAGATTACACTTACAAAAGACCGATTATAAACACTTTATTAACACTTAATACTATCTCGTTTATTTGCTTATTTATTAAGTAAATTTGACATGTACTGCATATAAATAGAAAAAAAAATGAATGCTTAATGTATCTATAGGTCATTTCAGTGTTAAATATTAGTAAATGATGATTCACTGAATTAGCTAAAAGCAAAAGAAGTAAACAATATTCATAAAAATCATATAAAATAATTAGACCTATAAATATACATGTGAAATAGTCAGACCACAATGTAAATACCTAACACGTTTGATGATTTCAAGCATAATCTACTATACTGATAGGTATAAGTTAAACAAATATACTAAATTTCCTATTTCATACAAGTTGAACATTAAGCAATAAACAGATCATTTTAATATCTTTAAAAGACAAACAATTCAAAGTGCATGAACAATAAACACATACCATATATATATGTAACAAATTACTTTTCGATAACCTAGTTTACTTATAAATTTCTTCATGAACTGATATATCAACTCAACAAACATTGGTAACTAATATTTATTAAACAAGTAATAGTTTGTCATAGTTGAGAATTTCCTGTACAGTTGGAAATCATAAATTTTCATAGTGTGTAATGTGAAATAGAAAAAAAAGTGCTTATGTATTACTCTCATAAAAATAAAAAAAATATAGTTAAGAGATTATTGTAAATTACGTGGGATTGTTTACTGTTAGTCATTGATGATAATAATCAAAGGTTGAAAGTTTAACAATGGTATAGTTTTTTAGTGGCCCGGTTATCTGACTCCAATTTGATCGTATGAATGATTGCTATCGCCTATCCTCATATATAATCATTGACTTAAATCGCGTTAGTTAATAACGGAATTAAGTAAGTCAAATAACGAGAATGGAGTTTTGAATGCATATATTTCGTATAATTGTTGATTAGACAAACGAACAGAGGAACGATGCGAAGATGAGAAAGCGAAGCTAAATTGGAGCGCGGTGGAGATGGCTGGTAAGCCAACACCCCCTTAACAAAGAGCTAATCAATATTTATAAGCACACAAAAATAAAATACAGACATGTGATGAGTAACGGGATAAGAAGTGTACATACGCCTACGCGCTCATATAAAGATGGTCAACATATTGATAAGCGAATAATTAACAAGGTCAAAATATGACTCAAGTAGAGTGAATAGAATGGGCTGTCCGAAAGTTAGAATAATGGGATATTTAGGCTTAACATAATGACAGACACCACATAGCCCCCTTGTAGAAAATAGCACATTTAAAAAATGTCTGTTTTCGAAAATAACACAGAAGTGATGTGTGGCTAACGTTAACATTAAGTAGTGAAAAAAATTGTACAACAAACGACGAAGTAGTGTCACATGAGGGGTGAGTGTATCATGCGAAAGTGTCATAGTTATGTAAAAGAATACATGAATATCGTAAAGGCGCGGACAATATGGAAACATTAGCATGCGATTATGAGCAAATTAATAAGCGTACAAAAATTTAACATGCACTAATGTTGTGACTGTCTGAACGATAAAATAACAAGTTTGTATGAGCGATTCAAAAATCGCTTGTGGGTATGGCAACAAAGTAAATCGTGAACCTAGAGTAGAATATGACTGAAATTGGTCTGTGATGCTGACAGAATAGTGAAATATGAAAATGTTCTGATGAGCCGCAGTAAAGTGAAAAGCATCGACTAGCGACGAGTAGATTCGAATTTAAATACGTCGAGTTCCCGTTTGTAGGATAAGAATAGTCATGTCGTGAAATGATAACTGCATCGACGGGTGATATTCGTTGCTGTACTGCAATTGATAATAATCATTAAATGCGAGGTCAGCGTACGTCGTCGTTTGCATTATGATAAATGCATCGAGTTATCGTTAAATATGTATTAGTAGAATGAATAGAATGGGCTGTCCGAAAGTTAGAATAATAAGGTATTTGGGCTTAACATAATAACAGACACCACAGTTTTCTAGATTGGTTATTTACTCATTAGATTTAGTGGTCAATAAAAAACAAACGTGATAGACAAGGTGTATCACTTACTGGTGTTATACTTATTATCATATAGGACCCATTTATCATAAATAACGTAGTTAAACAGAAAGCCTGTTAACTTTCGATTCTTTCAAAAACTACACATACAACTGCAGATTGATTAAAAATTAATTATTTTAGAGAAAGTGTTTTGCCCAGGTTTCAAGGAGTTGTTCAACAAATGATAACTAAGTGTTTCCATTTGATAAGGCCTATTGATTGACTCGACAGTATAAAACATATATGATGTACTTCTGTAAATTTCATCAGTAGGTAGCAAATATACTTTTTTGGAGGTCTATTTGTATGAAATGAATTTATCTAGGTACATCAATCATGATTTGAGTCTTAAATATACGAGACACTTAATATTCTTATATTTCTTAAGTTTCTTAGGTTTTTGACACTTCTACATCATTGATAACAATCTGTAATGAGAATTTTATTAAAATGACAAATAATTCGACGAT